TGTGTGTGTGTGTGTGTGTGTGCGTGTGTGGGTGTGGGTGAGGGTGTATGTGTGTGTGTGTGTGTGTGTGTGTTTGCCACTTTTTGGTTTTTATGTTTTTTTTTTAATACATATAAAGTTTTAAAAAAAAGTAAAAAACATGGGGTTGTTGCTCTGCAAAAGATCTACGACCCTATATATATATATATTTTTTCTTACTTTTCTTTCTTATCTTGCAAAACAAATCTCTGAGAAAAGAAGTAAAAGTTTAAAACCCAGCCATTTGATCTTTTTGCGAAAACAATCTTCCCGGGTGGTGGTGAACTGCAATAAACGGGGGGTTCAACGCAGCTTCCCCGTGTTTTCAATGCGCCTTGAAAGGTTCAACGCGGGACCCGCGTTGAAATGTCTTCCAGCTATTCAGTGTCCGGGTGAAGCACAGGGCAGAGAGGGGTCGATAGGAAGTACAAGAAATGGATCTGGGACGGACTCTTTCATCGGATTGGAGCATATGCGTTGGGCAACTTGTGTCACGTAGATGCATCAGGATGGCTACACTGATCATCGACTGCCTATACTTATTATATAGACTGCCTGTTTTTTAGCGTCATGAAGATGTATGGTCTCCCTGGTACTGATTAGTGATCTTGTGTTGGTGATCAAATCGATGACCTGTAGTAATTCATAGAGTCGATGGACATTCTGGCCTTATTTTTACTATTGAGTACCCCTTACTTCAAGGGTATTTTTGGAACTTGCTTCCTTTTTCTTCTTTTCTATCATTCTATGTACTATGTATGTGCAAAGCCAGAGGTATGGGTTTGGGGGTACTTTGTGGATGTTGGAGGAGGTAGGCTCCCTTGTGCAATTATAGGGCGGGTTGTGACCAGCGGGGCGTTCATGTTTTTTTTTTTGCTTTTAGGAGAAGGGATTTAATCATTTGAAGCACCACTCGTTGTGAGCTTCACTATTTCAATGCACTTCATTTCTCTGAGCTAAGAAATTTTAACCGGGGGAGGTGTGTGATTTGCCTGTATCCACCGGCCTTGTCTCGACGGGTACTCCGAGAGTGCGAGCCTTTCTTTGGCCCCTTGCTAAGCCACCCGTCGGTTTCCCATCCATTTTGCAGGGACGCGTTGTGCATCCTGCCGCACTGTGCGGGATGTACTGGAGTGCCATTTCACTGAAATTCATCCAGGCAAAACGGGCCTCGCATCAAGTTTCCATTTATTAAACAAAAAAAAAAAAAAAAAGGGCCCATAGGAGAAAAATGTGTAACAAAGTTGTGGCTGTAGACGGAGGCATATTTGTTTTTCAAGCAGGGAAAGGTACTGGTGTGCTCAAGGACCTCGACTCCTCACTGTTAAGGGGACTTCACGGGGAGGCCCGGCAGATGCCACAACTTCACTGTTGGCCCCAGCAGGTTGCCACAATGGCTGGCAGCGCCTGCCAGCCAAAAGGCAGGCGGAGAAGACGCTGTGCTGGTGCTTCGCCAAAGCTTGGCGTGCTGGAGAAATCTGCGTCTGTAGAAACAGGCTCGGTTGTACGGGTTGGTTTAGAGCCATGCCAACTACACTTTCCTTTGAAGGAAACCAAGCAGATCGCCCTGCCCTCGGAAGCAAACTGACTCCGAGTCGAGTTGGCACCGTGCCAAAGTTGGCCTTCCATAGTGCGCACAGCAAGCTTCTCGCTTTCAATCCCTAGTCAAACTGTCTCACCTTGTACAAGGAGCTCGACACCATGATCGAATGATCCTACCAGATCGTCTTCTTAAGGGGGTGCTCGATCAGCTGGGCTGTACGAGCTCGGGGTCCCCGGCAGGCCTGACCCGGTGATAGTACAATGATCTCGACAACATGATCGGATGATCCTACCAGGTCATCTTCTCAAGGGGCTGGGCTGTATGAGCCTGCGGTCCCCGGCAGGCCTGACCCTGTGATAGTACAATGACATCGACACCATGGTCCTACCAGGTCATCTTCTCAAGGGGGTGCTTGATCAGCTGGGCTGTATGAGCCTGGGGTCCCGGCAGGCCTGGCCCTGTGATAGTACAACGAGTTCGACACCATGATCCTACCAGGTCACCTTCTCGGGAGTCAGGGGGTTGCTTGATCAGCTGGGCTGTATGAGCTTGGGGTCCCCGGCAGGCCCGACCCTGTGATAATAGAACGGCATCGACACCATGATCGTACCAGGTCATCTTCTTCAGGGGGGGGCCTGACCCCGTGATAGTTCCAACCTCTTGCTTCGCACCTTTCTTTTTTCATCAATCAAATCAAAGGCTAAGTAACATAAGGCTCAGGTCATCAACAAGGGCAATTTTTCCTTCAGATGTAGTGGTGGTTCAAGGCCAGGCCATCTATCTACCTTGCCTTCAGAGCCACAATCATTGTGAACAGAGAAATCTCCTTGCGGCCTTACCTTCAGAGCCTAATCATTGTGGCTAGAGCAAGCTCAACCTCCCTGTTGCCTGAGTGCTGATGGAACGCCGAAGCCGCTAGCAGGCGCGGACTTTCTTTTTTTCTGATTGAGAAAATTCTTGCATAAAATCTCTGAGGATCCAAACAGCTCATTTGCTGGCTAGGATGTGTTAGCATCCGCAGTCCGGTTTCCCGCTGATAACCCCTTGATAACCCCTTGATAACCCCTTCTTACCCCCCCAACCCCACCCCTTCCCCTTTATGGGAATGTGCAGAAGTGCCTCTTACTATTTGGATGGGGTATATGGCTCTCTAGAAGGTCCTTTTAGCATTTTGGATGGGTATCTAGGCAGCACAACCGGATATCCGGGTGGCCTGGAGACATCAGGTTTACCCGGCTGGGCCGGGCTGGCTGAACCAGGTGGGAGTAAACTGGGTTGGAGTGCACCGGGCTGTGCGCAAAATAGGCACAGGGCAGAAATTAGGGAGGAAAGAAGAGTCCATTCGGCCCATTCTTGGGCCTCGGATGAAGGGAGAAAATAAGGCCCAATCTAGGCCGTCGAAGGATCGACAGCCCAGAATGGGCCTAAACTTGAATTCGAACATTTGTCCTACCGCTTGCCTCGACACGACTGGTGTGCGCCGCTCTGGGCGCAGATCGCCCCCCTAACCTCACTGCTGCCCTCCACCCGCTGCGAGAGCGTTAACGTGGTACCATCGCAAGGAGAATGGGTGATGCCATGGTCATGACAGCACCAGGGAGGAGGCAGGCTTTTTATGCCACCCAGAACCCTCCCTCACCACCCAGACACCCACCCATCTCTTTCTTTTCCTCCCCCTTGCTTCTTCCACCTTCGTCCTCTTCGTCCTCTTCGTCCTCTTTTTCAACCTCCCTTCTCCCCGCCTCTTCTTTGTCTTCATCTCCTTCTTTCTTGCAAGAGAGAGAGAGCCAGAGAGAGAGAGAGAGAGAGAGAGAGAGAGAGAGAGAGAGAGAGAGGTGATGTGGCAGCGTGCCACTTGGACGTCCTCCTCGTTCTTCTCCTCTTCGCCCTTCCTCGCTGTCACTAGGGATGGCAATGGAGGAGGGAGGAGGCGGTGGAGAAGGACGAGGGGGGGTAGAAGAAGAAGAAGAAGAAGAAGAAGAAGAAGAAGCGAGGAGGACGAGAACGAGGAGAAAGGCGACGAGGAGGGAAGGAGGGGGAGGAGAAGAAGAAAGGCGATGAGAAGGAGGCGGAGGAGGAGGAGGAGGAGGAGGAGGAGGTATAGGAGGAAGAGGAGTGAGGAGCAAGAGGAGGAGAGAGGTTCTCGGGACAGAGGAGGAGGAGGGACCGTCACCACCCATCGGTGGTCGACAGGGATGAGGATGACGATGATGCGGTCGTCATCGTCGCCATTTTGTTATTGTTTTTCTCTTTTTTTTTGCCCCTTGTCCTAGGCTACCAGCGCGAGCCGGGGTCACTTTGTTTCTTGCCTTTTTTGCTCCTTATCAGTCTTCTGACTGTTCTGCAAGGATATCCACCTCTTCCTCTTCCTGTCGGAAGAGGCGGGAGGAAGGCGGGAGAGGAGGA